TAAATCTTAATTTGGAATATAAGTTTAAATGCAAGAATTATTTCAATTCGTACAAATAGCTTACTCAGAAATTACGTAAAACCGCAGTGCTTTACTTCACTAGTGCATTCTCATTAGAATTGATGAATTTAATCCTTAATTTTGTCTTTCTTCTATTTTCGCCTTCGGGTGAGTGGTGTGATTGCATCCTAATTGACTTAATTACCGCAAATGGTTTTAGGGTATAAAATTTAATTATCTTTTGTAAAAATTCTGTATAATTGTATGCCAGTATTGAAAGAAACAATCAATCTATAAGAAATGGCTGCAACTTGTTTTGAAAATGAAGCGTAAAATGTTACCAGCGAAGATATTCCGTTTGGCATCAGTTGTACCATTATTGGCGACTTTATCGTTTGCGCCAGCAAAACGGAAATGTACCATAAAAAGATACACTTTTAACTTCATGCTTTCGTGAATGTGCTTCCGGAGAAAGATATGACTGTTTACTTTATTTAGCACCTGTTATGTTGCCATGTTGAAACTTTAGAAAAGATCCAGAACTCATAGTTGGTGAAGTTGCCTGATGAATTGCATATGACCAGTAAAACTAGGTAAAAACGGGGAACTTTGTAATTACTAATTTAACCGTATATTTCATCTGGAAGCTTTATTAATATTCAGTTTTTGGAATGAAAAAGGGACTATCTTTTGTGATGACATTTATAAAAATTAAAGAATCGTTAAACATTTAAAGGAAAATTTTCTGAACCTGGATCATTGCACCTAATTTAGTAGAAAGGCCGATACCGTCAATGCAGAAACAAAGAATGTACATAACGGGGCCAACAATCATTGTGCACTTGAAGAGTTTTTGCATAAAATGCCGTGATTTGATATAATCTTCACTTAATTTATCAGAAAAGTTATGATACCTTACCTGTTTTAACAGTGCCCTAGCATAAAGGTGTCTGCGCATCTGTAAAGTTGCAAATCGATTTTCATAATGGTATCGGCTGGTTTGTACGGTTGCAGAAAAATGAAGGTCAAAATCTACCTTCCTAAAGGTGCCAGCATCTTTATAAAATAGTCCAATTTAAAAGTGTAAGTACCTTTATGTCGGGACATCGCCATGAAAGATTTGGGAGCCATTCAGACTGGAGAAATGCCTTATTCCTCGTACACGCAAGCTGCTCTGGGTTGTGGGGCGCTGAACCACGAGACAGCAATTCCCCCTCCCTCAAAACCAAGACACAGACAGAAATTATACAAAGAGGAATTTTATTTGAGGAAGCGAATTTTAAGTAGAATCTGAACTCCCTTTCTATCACCACCCCCAGGGATTGAAGAATGGACACGCATATATGTGCGACTATTTGATATAAAAATGCCACTTTTCTGCATACCGATATGATGAAAAAAAAATCTTTCAGTTTAATCACCAGGTTTCGATAGGCCTGCGTAAACATCTGGTCGCAGTAAGTTCGAAATCAAGCATTCTGAGATACACCCTTCCCTGAAGTTTGCTTAATGCACAAAGAAAATACAAGAAATCAAACGAAATTATTTTTGTTCTGTGGGTGCGTGAGAATACATTCCTTTAAGTTTCCGGTTTCATTCTTGCGAAACGTAAAAATTAAAGCTCGGTCTTTTTAATTTTAATGTTAATTGCTTTATGATTGCACTTGCAGCAAGAAAATACACCTACTTTTATGGAATATGGCTGTTCCTTTTTGCTGATTTCAAAAGCCACTAATCAATCGTAAATTATCGAAACGTAATTTCCTATTGTATTCTGATATTTTCAATACCTGAACACTGTAGGAAACAACATTTTCGATCAAATTACGGTTTCCCAAGCATTTTTATTTTTTATATTTTCAGTAATGGATTGTAATCTTTACAGAGAAAATAACCATTTGACGCTTCTGTGCGTTCTTTGTTGTTCAGCTTTGTTCTCCAATAACAGGACGGGAGGGGGATATAGGAGGGAGGACTACTATTCTCGGAAGGAAGGAAAACTGTTCTGAAATTGACTTGATAGTAACCAGTCATACGGAAAGACAACAATTTCTTTTCATGGGTGGCTATTTTTTTCCCCCTTTTCTTTTTCTTTCTTTTTTTTAACTGTTGTTGTTTTCTTCCTTTTTTTTTTTTTTACTTTTTACTTCTGATGTGCGGATGTCCGTTATTCCTTTTATGCGTCCCAATACTAACGGCAGCCCCCCCTTTTTTTTCAGTTTTCAACTGTTGCATTTTCATATCGACCTTAAAGTGAAGTTTTGCAATTGCTTTTTGGTTACCGTTATAAAAGACTAAACCTTTTTTTAAAAAAGCAGCTTAATATATTTCCGGTATACTTGCTCTTGCTATTAATTACCATATATTATTAATATACATATATAGAATACATGTATGATAGATACATTTCTAAACATATGAGAGACATTAAACGTTATTCTACCATAGTTTAGTTCTATTAAAGTGCACATGTTGATGCACATAATTTGTTAAAGCATTATTAACGAATTATTTACAAGTACATAGGAAATTGCAAAAGATGTCTTTTGTGTATTAAATGAAAACTATTTTTACAGGCAACTTAGACATACACACATTGATTTCTCTAACAGAAAGATGAGAGGCTATATATACTTTGTTCAGCATGCTCTACCAATGAAACAAACGCGACGATTGAAAAAGCGACTGTAGATTTCGGTGCTTGTGTTTTGCTATGTGCCATTCACCATCTTGCTTGGTCAGATATTCAGGTCTCAGATTCATTTTTTACAAATGAATTCTCAAGCAATTGAGCTGTCCTTATTTGTTTAGCTTTGTTATCTTCATAGATTGCTGGGAGGCCTTAAACTGGAACTACTGAAAAGGTACCTCTTCATAGTGCCCCGTCATAACGGTGCTGGTACGTTATGAAGATCTCCCAGTTTATGCCAAGGCATAAACTTCCTCGAGCATGACGGTGTAAATGTTCCCACAGAGCATCGCTATGTAAAACCTTGGACTCGTACAAAGATGCGGAATTTGCGTAGCGATGGCGGCACCGCCATACACGAGCTCTCCTCTCTTCTTCTTCTTCTTCTTTTTTTCTTTTTTTGTTTTTGTTGGCATAATGGTACCGGGCATTCTTATGTCGGTTGCAATGATTCTCATTTATAAAGTTTCCATTTAGAGTACTATATTATTAATCTTCACATTTAGTAATCTTGTATATGTTATCCTATTTTTAGATAATAAAAGTTATTTATATGTGTTTCATTTGCAATTTAAATAATATATTTGAGAAGCATCATTATAAATTATATATACTTTGATCTAAAATTTTTCTTTGATTGCTGCAGAAACAAGTTGGTAATATTAATAATTCAACCGTTAAAACTATATTGTAAAGTTTGGTGTAAAGCAATTATTATTTTTGATTTTAAACTCCCATTTTACCGATAATATTGTGAAATTTTTCGACTATCAGTAAATTTCTACACCTTAATAGAATATATGTGAAGATTCAAATTCCCAGTTCTTGTGGGCTTCAAAATGCTATCAGTAAAACCATACCGAAACTGATAACTGTCTAATCTTTCGTGAGCTGAGTGCTCAAATAACATCAGTTTTGGTGTTATTTCTTTGGACTATTATGCACACACTTCCTTCATTTTGCTTAAGATTTTAGTTATTATTGTGAATAATTTAGCATGATTTTCTCTCAAAAACTGAGATGTTAATGAACAATAAATTATATATGAAAGTTTGAGTTACCTCTATGGGTAAACAAATTCGTCTAAAAGTAACACAAGTTCATAAGTTTAGACTGCATGGTATAAACTGCTTTTATGGGAATGAGTTTTGTCTTCTACATTCATATTCCGAAACTTAAGAGAGTATTCTGTCATTTTAATCAACGATACCTTTCAAACATCACCTTTTTTACTCCATTCCATCATATGTTTTTACTTTCTGTTACGAATACGGCTACTTTACAAGTTTTAATTTATTTCATGAAAACATATGCTTTAGATTAATGTAAAGCATAAAGTATAAACTGACTGATATATGAACTATTCTTTGAAGATATATATATGTGAAAGATAAGAGAAACGTATGAATTGGAAAATATTAGCATCTATGAAGTGGAAAAAAACTGAAATATACTTTGCTGCAATATTTAATTGTTAAAAAATAAACGAAATGCAGTAAAGTGGATAACAACTTTATAAATAGCAGACCATTATATTCATTAAAAAGGGTAAACCTAAAAATTCACCAACTTTTGTGCAGTTATCCCAGCTTCGGCTACTTTAAATGGTCGGTAGAATTGAATTATATAAATACACGCAGTAACAGGATATTTGCGCAATAGCGACAGCACCATTACTCAGGTTCAACGTGCTGAAACCATTTTGACAGTTCCGAATTTTGTATAACGGTGACGTGATCTTACCGCTTTCTTAATAAATTATTCCGACCAGCATATTAAAATTGTACTTGCATGGCGGCTAGCTACTACTTTACAAAGGTTGCTAATTCCACAATAAAAATTCACATTCATTTAAAAAAAAAATTCTGTAGCACTAATTATTTTAGGTTAGGTCGCTGAGTTAGATTAATATAACAAAAGAACAAGTCTCATAAGACAAAGCACGAGAACTAATATTTGAGATTGTCTAGTTTTTACTGTTAGGGGTTCGCTGCATTACAGCTTGAGAAACTACTACAGAATCTTTGCAATTACAGACTGCCAATTAAAACAGTTTTCTGAAAGACGAAATTCTTTGACTCTCCGTTTTCCACCATACAAAAATTACACCAGTAGCTTCCGCTTTCCTTGCTTCTTTTGTACGGCAGAAATATTCCTAAAATGTAATTTATGCGTCCTGCTTTCGATTAAGCTGTCGTAAAAGCTCATATGCATACATATACATTTTAATAAAAAAACAGCGCCATTCTTTTCCTTTCTTTCGCGTAAACAATTGCTCGTACATCCTCGGCAGCAAAGGGTTGAGCTATGACGCACGCAATGTGACTGCAGATGCATTTACTTGGTCTTCGGTGCATCCGCCAATTTTTCAGATTTCTTCGCCTCCTTCCCCCCCCCCCCCGTCCAGAATTCATGAAAAGCCAGTCGAAAATTACGTGAGTAAAACAACTGAATAGTATCCATAACTATACAGCGAAATTATTTGGTTAATTAATTAACCATAATTTTGTTAAAAATATCTTTCTAGAATATAAAACTTTTCCTGGGACTTTTCCTCTTTCTTTCTTCTGTAACTATAGGCCATACGCTGCAGATTAGGTTGGAAATGAATTTAATGAACAAGGAAGAACCGAAGGACTTTGAGAAACACAGCTAAGGATTATCGCAAGATAAAGCTGGTAAGATATAATATAAATTTAAACTGCTGATTGCCATTGTGTAAAATGAAAATGATAATGCTTATGATAAAATATGTCTACAGATACAAAATGCGCTAAAAAACATGAAATCACTAGCTATTATCTAAACATCTAGAAAATGTTAATTTTATTTTATCACTTGAATGACATAATTATCTCAAAAGAGAACTTGAGAAACTAAATACGAGTACAAATGTACAGCGTCTTAGAAACCGTTTGTGCCTCTTGTAAATCTTTTTCTGTTGAATCCCTATTATATTAGGACTATTCTTTTTAAGAATGCATTTTACCCTGCTGATACTTATTCTCGCTTTTGAATCCGTATTATGTATACTAGCAACACAATTTAAATCAAATCATAATTTGATATATATGGATTTTCAGTGTGTCGTATTACATAGCATAAAGTTGCATTTTACATACTATTTAAAATTGCTTTCCCACACAAAGGAATTCGAATAATGAAGATATGCAAAGTTTATCTGAGAAGTCTGTATGCAGAATGAGTGGTTCGCAGTTTGTAACGAAACCATCTAGCCAAATTATCTTGGACGATCACAGTGAGCATAATCGCATAGTTGCTTCTAAGGAAATGACACAATGATTCCTGTTTCAAGAAAATTTATTTATAGGCTGACATTATATTAAGAAATTCAGGTTTGATGAACTATTTAAATTAAGCGAAAATTTTAAGCATTTTGCAGTTACTCTAAATTACGTTAAATTTATCAAAAGCGATTAAACGGATGAATCTTAGAAAAGAGTACTTTACTTTGGGAATGCAATACCCGGTACTTTTCTGCGCAAAGGTGCGAGAACCCTCATACATGTGAAACTGTTTTCACCAGGACTAAAACTTTATACTTGGTACCTGACATAAAAGTTTCGTCACCTGTACATAGATCAATATTTAAGTTTTTTTGCTTGCACCCCCCCTCCAAAAAAGAGTTCCATGAAACTGTCAGCACTTATATGCAAGTAGAATTTTCGTTTTCCTTACTAATCAGAATTGCAAACTAAACCCAACTTACATGATAAAGGTGACCTATATGACGGTTGCTTCCCAAAGATAAAAATGATTTTCACATAGAGATGCTGTCACCCTTAATGCCGGAGCACCTTTATAAAAATTTCTGTGTTCGCGAACACCAGCCGACCTGGTGGACACTTTTACAACGAGCCATCAATTATCAAGACATCCCTTTCCCTGCATGTTATTTTAAGAATCTAGAAATCATATGTAATTATTTGTTGTATTTAAGAATTTGTATATAATAAGTTATACAATTATTCATTAATGAGTTATTTAATCATACAATGTTACTTCGTTAGTAATAGCTTATTTAATAGGCTATTAACTAATAAAATTGCTTATATGCTCATAAAATATTCTAAAAACTGCACATGTATTGATAAGTATTTTTAAGATCTTACTGCATGAAATTTAATGAAATCGATGCTTGTTGTTTATATAACAATTCGTATCAATTGCATAATAATTTAATGAGAAAAGCGTTATCGGTAAATTTAAATTTATTCATATTTTAATTACATTCAGTTTCTAATTTCAAATGATCGTTATTGGTAATGCATTAAGTCTTTTAAAGAACTCATATGGTTCACAGATTTTTTTTCTTTTTTTTTAATCGTTTCGTAGAATATGAATATTTATTATTTTTCCAATATTGTATTTTTTGATTTTTTCGATGAATTTCGCATTTTAATCGCACGTATTTAACGCATTACTAGCTCAAGCTAAATGATCTTGGTAGAATTTTCTTCCAAAACATCTTAAGTAAGTAAAGATAAAGAAAAGGTACAGTGGAGCACCGTTTATACGTCTTTCAAGAGTCCCTTCACAAACGACGTATAAATGATAAAAAAGTATAAAAGACATTTTAATTAAAATGCAATATATATATATACATTAGCTGCACAAATTTGTTACTACTAACCTACTACTGATATTACACAATTTGATTATCGTACTTTCATTTTGTTTAAAATATTAAATATTTAAAATGTTAAACATTTAAAACAAATTTTTAATTAATATTTCAAATAAATAATTAATTAAAATTAATATTTTAAACAGTTAAAACAGTTTTTAAAATAATGTTTTAAAAATGCGATTGCTACAAATTTAATATTATTAATATCAAAAGGATGCAAATTTCTGTATGTACTTATGCAAAATTGGGGGAGGGGGAACTCATCCTCTTTTCCAAGAATATTTTAAAGCAAACTTTGTAGTCTGACGTATCTTTTTATTCTGAACCTTAAGCAAAGCGCTATGAATCGAATTCAGTTCTTGAAATGTTTTTTTCCTTGTACACCTAAAGAAATATATGAGGGTGTCAATGTAATAAATAACATTTTAAAAAGAAGGTGAGATTATTTCTGCATTTTCTTCTTCATTTACGCTACTTAAATATTCTTCTGAAAAGCTGTTTTCAATCAGTTCTTCAACTGTGTATAAATCTGACATTATTGCATTGGCTTCACAGTTTACGTAGCCATCGATTGTAATGCCTTATATTCCAGTTGTTTCTAATCTTCTTCATCCATAACCACAGTTTCATCATCATTTTCGCTGTCAACACTTTCATTTGAATCTGGGTTGGAAAATTTACCTTTGATGATCGTTTGTGGTGTTACTTGAGTCCAGTGAAATCATATTCATAGCCTCAAGAATACTTAAATTTTTCTCTGCATTTTCTTAGTTAGGAAGGACCATTTTAATCAATCTTTTCTTGTAAAACATTTTCAAATACTTGATAGCACCTAGATCTAAAGATTGTACTACAGTAGTGCAGTTTGCCGGTAAGAAAAAAAAACCCTTAGGTTACTGTGTGGTACACTGATCCATGAAAAGTAAAATTTTACAATGTTGTCTCCTCGTTTGTCTATTTTCTTGAGCTCTCCCCCCCCCATTCTGTAAAAAAGTCCGTAATCATCCATGCTTTCTTATTTGCTTTATATTCTAATGACAGATTTGTTTCACGCACCTTGGTTTTTGTGACTTTCCTATAAATAAAGTAGTCATTTTTGTTCCGTACCATCAGCGTTTACACAAAGTAAAACACTGAGTTGTTCTTTACTTTGCTTGGCTCCCTGCCACTGGTCACCTTTGAAAGCTACGGTTTTTGTAGGTATAAGTTTAAAGAAAAGAGCATTTACATCAGTATTAAAAATGCCTTTTAATTCCTAGCCATCGATTTTGGTGGATAAATTCTTGAACCACTCTTCAAACCGATTAAGAAGGAATGCTTTTTTGATTCTCAATTTATTAAATGACATGAGATTTTATACTGCATTTTAAATCCATGCAGGCATCCAGTTTAAACGCAAGCTTCCTTCACATTTAATCGAAACGCTATTCCTTTTGATTTCTCGATTAACATGGGGCCATTTACTGGAATATTGGATGCATGAATACTGAATGAAATATTTCGACAAAATGGCTTCGACATCAGGAAACTTTCCATCTTGAAGCGGACTCTCTACAAATTTCTGCTTTTTCTTCAACTTTTGTTCTATCACAAATAACCATTTTTAGTGGTCTCACAAGAGTATCTAGTTTCTTTGTTAACGCAATATTCATCAAATCAGTACTCGCATAAATTTCTTTTCAAGATTTGAACTTTACCTTTTAACGATAGTGCCTTTCGCTTTCGTGACATTTTGTATCAGTTAATTATGTTCCACCTAGTTTACGTAACACAGCATCGTGTTCAAGTGGGAAAATTTTCCTTCCAAGTATCCCCTCTAGTCACGAACTGGTTTTGAGCTCCTATAGACTGTCTCATGCCTTTGTTTCCTTTTCCTGTCCTAATTTCTGGAAAAGTACTTGAAAAGCGGGACTGCAAAATGTAAAACCAATGCAGTAAATTAAGCAAAAACGACCTATAACCGAAGTTATGCGACGTATAAAAGAAATATTTTACTATGAAAATGGACTGTATCGGGACTAAGATAAAACGACTTATGAATGTACAAAACGTACAAACGAGAAACACATAAACTGCGCTCCACTATATATAGACGTGAGGTATTTAAATAAAGTCCTAACTGAAAATAAAAGAAGGCCCGAAGCAATTACCGGAGTCTTATCGAATATTCCAGAATGAAATGATTATAGTGCCATTTTACGGAGAAATGCCGGTTAAAGAGTTGTTGAACCGTTGAATGCCGGATAATCGGAATTCTGTAAAATCACTTCCAGTTATGTATTTCTGCCTTTTACAATTTTAAACGAAGGTGTAACAAGAATGCTTGTAAATTTCTTTGAAAACCTGGGTTCGTTCAGTAGTGATTTATTCAAGAAAATGCTGTTAACTCCTCTCTTTGATTTTCGCAGCGCTAGTAGAAAACATTTGTTTAAGTTATCTAATTTTTCAAAGTTTAAAATCAAAGCATTTGTTAAGTTAAAAATAATAACAACATAAAATAGCTCCTCGGCCCCTTTTTTTTTGGGGGGGAAGAAAAGTTTTTCCCTCTTTTAAATTACGATAAGTACTTGGAATTCTAAATACTTCCTAACGCATGAATGAAAAATCAAAGGGAATTTTCATTTTTTGAATAACAATCGAAGTTTTTTTATATTTTTTTAAACTAACTTTATTCCGAAAATTCTTCTCATATTCCTTGAAACGCATTAACTGTTTTTTATAATTTACCCTCCCACAAAGCACAAAGCATGAGAAAATTGTCTAGACAGTGAGGAATATATATGTTCAAAAAAGAGAAAACAATTTTTTACCTTATTCACACATGCATATACTCATAGAGGGCGTAACCTTGGTACAAAGGAGTAATTTAAGCTGAAAACACCCGCCCTAAGAACTTTTCGGCTTGAAATTAGTGGAATTTTTCAGAAAGAAAAACAACTAAAACTAATTTTTTTTTTTCTCATAGAACGACTAAAAGAAATAAGAGTAAATGAATGAACAAAACAAAAGAAGAATGTAAGCATCTAA